GCCGGCGGCAGGGCCGGGCGGGGGGCGCCCATTAAACACCAACGGGGCGGCCGAGGCGAGCGGCRGCGATGGCGCTGACGGCGGGGAGGCGGCGGCACGACTTGGACAACGTGAGCGCGGCGGGCGGGAGCGGGAGCGGGGCCGCGGCCTGGGGCCCCGCCCGGGTGAGCGGCCGGGCTGCCGCTGAGGGTGGGCGCGGCGGGCGAGCGCCTCGTGTTCCGTGCCGTCTCTTCTTTCCGCCCCTTCCTGGCTGTTTTCTGTCCCGGGCGCCTGAATCTTTATCTATTTCTTCCGGGGGAACCGCCGGCCCAGGCGCCTCCCCAGTGGCCCTTTCGGAAGTGAGGAGGCCGCCGCGGCCCCTCGCTCCCCGTGCTGCCCTTCTCCAGCCGGGCTTGAAAAATCCCCGAGGCGTTTGGGCCTGGACTTGTTTCTAATCGAAATTGTTTTCTACTGCTCGTGTAGCTCCTTGGTTTTTCTGGGTCGTTCTTCTCCAGGCGGATCCTGTCAGTGCCATCTCTGGATTCTGTGCTGTTGGCTGGCATGACCACGGCGTTTTTGTTTGAATGTTTATCACCGCCCCAGCTGGAAGCCTGCGTGGGCAAGGCTTGCTGGCTCTGGCTTGTTTCTGCCTGCCATCCTCCTGGTGCTGAGCGGCTGTGGAAGTGGTCACATGTTGGTGGTGGATCAGGGAGCCAAGAGGCTGAAGCTTTAACCTTTGCCGGGCAGCAGTGCCAAGCAGGGCCGGATTTAAGGCATTTTGGCTTTCGACAGCTGTGGTTTTGGCTCATCTTAATGAAATTAAATCCGTGTTTGCTCTAGGACACTTAGTCCCAGATTGACTGCATGGGATCATCATATCACATGCTTTAACTCCCTTCTTCTCCCTGTTGTCTGTAATAATGTCTACTTGAAGAGATTGTGTCATCTATTGCTTCCTAATAGTAGCTGTAGTTTAGGATGCGAAGATGGATTGTAGCCAGTCTTATAGAGCCAGTYTACATGTTCAAAGCTCTGATAAAGCTTTGTCTATGAAGGAGTGTCCTGATCTCTCATGGTATTGCAGAAATGGTGAATCATTTGTTCCCATGAGATGAAGGATACTGTCTGAAGGRGAATTGCTGTGTTTGTGGGAGATGTGAGCTGTTAACCCTGCTATTGATTCTGTGGTCATAGAATAGTTTGGCTTGAAGGGTCTTTAAAGATCTATTTCCAACCCCCCTGCCATGGGCAGGAACACMTTTCCCTACACCAGCTTGCTCAAAACCCCATGCAGTCTGGCCTTGAACACTTACAGAAATGGCGCATCCATATCTTTACTGGGCAGSATGTTCCAGTGTCTCTCCACCCTCACAGTAATGAATTTTTTACAGATGTGTAATCTAAAGAATAAGACAAGATGCCTTGCCTGCTGGAGTGTTGGTCCTTGCTTTCAGAGCTTAAAATTATACCTGGGTTGTGAAAACAGGCAAATGAGGAAGAGAGGACACTTGTGCTCTCTTGCTTCTGGATTTGCCATCAGTGACATGAGAGGAGTGCAGTTTGTAGACATTTAGGTGTGCAGTAAAAGGTCATCTTACTAAGCAGGTATTTCAGTAAGGGTCCTTTACAGTCAAAGACTGGATTAATTAAAAGGTATCAAATAGCTGAGGGAGGTCTGTTCACACTCCTCTGTGGTAGCGCAAGTGTAGTGTTTGTGGTTCTAAAATAAAAATTATTGTTGACTGAAATAACCCTTGATGCCTACCTACTTCCTTCACTATAGGCAGTTGCCTGCAGGTGAAATAATACTGAGGGGCCAATCTACATTGTCCTCATTACCATGAAGTATAAACCTAGGTCTAATCCTTCTCTTCCTGTGCTAGTGTCTATGCCTCATTTGTTCTGAGGCTTATGCTGCTTTCTGTCATGGCAAAGAAGTTTAAAAAACAGTAAAACCCAGTGARCCCTGGTATGTCTGAATATTCAGAAGGCTGGAGTGAAATGGGATCTGGCTTTTGTCTTCTTGTTCTGGGCTGTGGCTGAGGAGAGCAGTCAAAACTTGCATGGAAATATTGAGTTGCTTTATATTCTGAGGCTAGGGACRTAACAGGATGCTAAGAGAGGAACTAGCAGTTTTGGCCATCATAGCCTGTGCATGTTCCACTTAAGATGTATTTGGTGATGTTATCCTGGCCTGAAAGGAGCAAGGATGCATAGCTCTGRGGCAAGTTCCTTGCCCGAGGGTTTTCGCTCCACCCATACTTAGTTTTACCTTCTACTCAGTAAAAGGCAGTATATTTGAGCTGAAGGTGAAGTCAAAGACCTAATAATTGGCTCCAACATGACAAGGGCTGGCTGCATTCTCTCTAGTGTAGGCAGAGAATGTCTTGCTCAGCTCTTAGTAGCATCTTCTTCCCTCTGTGAATTACTGCTTCTTCCTTGCCCAGTTCAGTTCTAGTTACTGCTGCAGGTGTTTTGACATGTCAGTAGTGTCAGTGGCTGAAACACTCAAAACTGCTACTGTTACACTGCAGCTTGTAGTTGCCTCCAACTGCAGTTGGACGGAAGTAAGAACAATGAATTTTGCAGAACCTGTGTAAAGTATGTGAGACAGATTTTGTAATTTTTTTACTTTTTCCTATAAATATACTAATACTTCTGACATCTCTCAGAGTTGAAGCYCAGATACTTGTAATATATTTTAAAGGCTGAAATTCCTGAAGAMTAAGGAATACTAAGACTCAGTGAAATACTATGTAGATTAGTATTGGRTTCCTCAGGGACTGAGTTCTCACATAAAGATGTGATGAGAGTTTACCTAGAGTTTAAGAGTTTGTCTCAAGATATTAACTTAATGGGGTGTTTTCCCCCTCTCAAGGCTTGATTTGCTAACAGAAAATCCCTAAACCTTTGTACTTTGCTTTTATAGCTTACCTGTTGCTATGTTTGCCCTCCCCTTCTGTTCCAGGGCTCCTTGGAAATAACACAGAGTTTGGAAGATGATCCTCTACTGGATGCACCACTCATTTCATCTCATACATTGCATTCCCAGCTGAGGCCAAGATTTCATGCTATCCCAGCAGTTCTCCTTGCCAATTTCCTGTTGCTAATTCATGTAAGTTTAAGAAGCATGATTTCCTTGAGAAAACTTGCTATCTCTCCTCTGAATCCTTAATGTTCAGGTGAGAGAATTCTTATGATGTGGCATTGCATACACTGTTCTTCCAACCCAGTGAGGTCCCCTTTGCCAGTAAATTCTGATAATGTATGTGCTGTCAGATACTTGCTGCCTTCTCATTCTGATTGTTGGCACTGTGACACATCTTATTAGGAGGAAAAGCATTTTAAATAATAGTTCTTCATGCTGTTGGAAATGTACTTCAAAAACAATATTACTGCTGTAGAAGTGCTAAAGTAGTTATCGGGGGCTGAGATAATTTTAATGTCATGTCTTCTGAGACCAAACTTAATTTCAGTGAGAAGGTAASTAAACAAGTCAAGTTAAACTTCTTAGGGGGTGTTTCATGATAGTGGCTGGAGAGATACATTAATCCACATATTATTTCCTGCTTCTCACTTCTGGAGGTTTAAGAGCAAAAAGCACAAATACTGAACAGTATCTAAGCACTTATAGTGCTGGTAGACAGAAGTAGAGTCCTGCCTAGTAGTCAATTTCTCCTTGATAAGCTGAAGAGGCTTGTTCTTCCTTGTGTGTGGCAACCAGATATKAAGAAGGAAGGCTGGAGAGCTCTGAGCCCAAGATCTGACTGAAATTATACTTTCATGGCTCTTGGAGATATGGTGGATTTGGTAGTGTTAAGTAAATGGTGGACTTGGTGATCTTAAGGGTCTTTTCTAACTTTGCTTCTATGATTCTATAGTACCAGTGACACAAGGTATTTGAGAGCTTAATTTGAGCTCTAACAAAAAAATACTGTGCCCAGTGCTCTTGAAAACATGCTGTCTGCCAGGACTTTAAAAGCACATATCAACCTCTACGGTCCCTCTTTGGGCAGCTGCGTAAAGTTGTTCAATATGCTTTAGCCTTCTAMCTTTAGGAGAAGGTGTATTGTGGGCYATGTGGTAGTATCAAGAAATRCCCATCTGGCTGTCAGACTTAAGGAAGACYTCTGCTATTCTGCTGAATAGGCTAYCAAAATTCCCARYRGAAACCACGTATCCAGCGTTATTCCCTTCCCCTACCAGAACTCTGTGCCATTCTATTTTAGAAAACACTTGAGATCTGCTATTGGTAACAGAGCGGTGAATCTTTCTCTGCCAAGCCTTGGGGCTTTACTATCTACCTACTATAACTGATGCAGCCAAATGTCAGTCACTCAGATCCTAGGAAACTGACGCCTATTCTCCCCCACATTTTCCTCTCTCCTGCAAAGGGAGAAAAGTGTGGGTAGGTGAAGAGGGAAAACTTCTGTGGCTTCTGTCAACACACATTTTTAGAGGTTAAGTCTCGCTGTTATTGCTGAACCTGCTTCAGTGACCAGTTGGTCCTTGGAACAAAATGTAGACGTATCCTTTTCTGTTGGCAAAATAGCATTATAATTGCTAACTTGAGTGGCACTGTCTCTMTCACTAAAAAGATGGATGGGGAAGACAAGCTTATTGGTTTTCCTTTCCCTATGCTTCTGCAAATGTGCACTAATCTTGTAGAATGTGGAGAGAAGCCAGGTTAGTTTCTGATGCACAGCCTTCCAAAGGGGTRAATGTCCTGCAGAAGTTAAGCCATCGTAGTATTATGCAGTAGAGCTGTAATGCATTTTTAAAGCAATTTGTATGTAACTTGGGAGTATTTCTTCTTCACCTTCCTGTGCCAAGAAATGGAATTAAGTAGCAAAATAGCTGCTGAGGTGCAGCTGCCTAGTTACATACAATTCTGAAAAGTGTGAGTAGGATATGCTGGAGTGAGGTGGGACTGGATTTTTCRGTGCCTTTCCTTTTGCCAAGCCTTGCTTTTCTGAAAGCTTCCCATCAGGAGGCTGGAGAGCAATGTGAAGTGTACASGATAGGAATAATTTCTTTGTATTAATCTTTCCTTAATCCTATGTGTGTGTGCACCTACAGAAAATTGAACTTAAATACTACTCTTTATAAGAATTTCTTCTTTGYGTGTAAAAATAGGCAGGGGGTGAGACACCTATAATTGAACTGCCCTACAATGTAAACAAAACATGTTTAATAAATACCACTCTAAATGCCAGCTTCCTGCTTCCTCTTGTATACACTGCTGTAGTAGTTTAGTAGAGGTGTAATACTAGGTAGGTGAGTCCTGCTTRCATCAGTTTAATATAGCCATTTTCTGTGCTGAAATGCATTCCCACCACCTGGAAGGAGTAGAACTAAATGAGTCACTATTGTAAAAATGGCAAACCAACCAGTGAACAGATCAAACAAAATAGTAGAGTTATTCTTAGCTTTGTGAGAAAAAGAGGGGGTAAAATAATAAACAAATTATAAACCTTCCTCTTTTTAACTACTTCATCTATCTACTTAACCCATCTCAACATAACATGGTATTTAATTTGCATTTGAAGTAATGGTCTCAGATAATGTGGGATACACTCCTGTTTTGCTTTGAGTTTTTTTTTTCCTTCTGTGTTCTATYCTATCTGTCCTCTGTAATGTCTCWTTTACGTATTGATGATTGTGTGACRATTATTCCCCCTTCTTCCTCCCTCCCAAATTACCTAACTCTGGTCACAACCAGAAGAAGCTAAGGGCAGTTTGTCTCAAGAATAATTAAATGRTTCTGAAAAGTTAATTTCTGTAAAGAATGTTCAGAAAGTACAAAAACAGGAAAAATAAGTTCAAGAGGTTGGAAAGGGCCTGGTGGGATCTTAGATATGCATAGAACTAAGTATGGAAATGGAGACAGCAAATGAGTACTTTGCTCCATCTTCAGTTCTGATAGGCTGTTTTTGTCAGTTATTATATGATATGCAAAACATCTGACACCTTTCTTTTTTAAGCTAAGTGTATTAGAATTATTAGAAACTTGCAGACAACTTGATTTTCTTGTTTTGTCTATAGAAGCTCTCAGTTTACTTCTTTGTTGGTGGGAGTTGTTTTTCTCTACAGTTCTGTTTTAAAAATATTCCTGTGCTGTRGAATGAACCAAGATAAGAAAGTATAATATTATTCTTGTTCACTGAATGAACACAGAGCAAATATTTTCTGTGACAAAACTATAAATATTAAGAAAGTCCTGTGTGTATGCATACACCACAGGTAATGTGCATCCACAGCTTTGCTTTCTAATTGGCCAAAAAATTGCTGATGCTCGCTGCTGATGCCGAAAATTTGGAGAGGAGTCTAGGAGACAGGAAAAGTTATGGCACAATGGCAGCAGTCTGAAAGGATAAGTATATATACAATTTGACTATATATGCAATCTGACTGACAATCTGTCTGGTCACTCTGATACAAGTAAAAAGGTAAAATGGAAAAACCTGATGGCAAATATACTGGAGAGTGATTACCAGTTGGCAAAGATGCCTACTCAGTGTTAATAATTCATTTTAAGTTACTGTGATGATTCACTTYTCTAATGTCAACCTGGAGATGGTCTTCAATGGCTGTAGTAARGGATTGATTTTCACTTAAGAAATGTTGAATGTTGATTTAAAGAAGCACAGACAGTACCAATAAGATAAGAGCCTGTCCCACTGAGCAGCATTAAGTTTAATTGAATGAGTCTAAAAAGATGTGATTTCTCTTTTATAGGAGCATAAATCAAGTACTGCCTAARGTAAAAAGGGATAGTAAGGAGGGTCCAGAAATGAAATAGATTCACTATGAAGACTGGAGGAATGGTGAAACTGATTTAGTAGAAATTCTGGGAAGGGTGACAGTTACGAGCTCTGTTCTGCTGGAGACTGGCTGCCCTCTTGCATGTCAATCTTACTACTTTGCAATTTCATTCATCTKTATGTTCCCAGAGTGACATGTAGTGGTTGCAGCAAGTGTCTAATGCTTTGTATGTTACCTCAACTCCAATGAAATCAATTCAGAAAGTAATGCATAATGAATGAATTACATAATCCTGTTTTTATGGTTTGGGTTTTTTCATATGTTAACTTTTCAATGKTAACTKTAAAWTTTTTTCTCTCTTYCTTTCTCTTCCAGGTTGCTTTTGTTGTTCTAGCATTTTTAGCAGCTATGTTTTGTTCTTACCCCAATCCAAACCAAGATAAGTGCCCTGGAAACTACACTCACCCACTTAAAGTGCAGACTGTCATAATAATTGCAAAAGTAATTCTGTGGGTTCTGCATGTCTTTTTTGAACGRTATGTCCAGCACCACCACAGCAGAGTCAGAAGAAGAGGTTACTTCTCCATATATCGATCAACAAGGCATCTAAAAAGGCTTCCACTGCTGATACACTCCACAGGTTAAGTAAACTTGGCTTTTTTCCTTCAAAACCTTTAAACTGTGACACTGGAAGTCAAAGTCACCACTTCAACAAATCTAAAATCCATCTAACTTGAGGGGATTTTTGCATGAATACCAGTGTAACAGGGCACAATGGTTTTTAAAGTATTTTTGCCTCTTAAAATCCCACTTTCCTCTTGGAGTAGATTTTTTTTTCACCAGAATTAATAAATTAAATGGTCTTTTTTTACATAAAAACTTATCTTTCTTTCAACACCGTTCCCGAAAGAGCTGGTCAGCTTGGTAAGTGTGCAACACTTCAGGCTCTGGCCACTAGATAGAGCTCTGAAGATGTAGAAGTATTTGGAGTCCAGTGACAAAAGCAGGCTGCAGCAGACTTAATGATGGAGGACTATTTCTGCCTATTGGAGTGTAATCTGCAATACTTAGCCCTGCTTTCAGACTTAGATGGAGCCCACTTCTCCCCTACTAGACACTGTGGGCATTTGTGAATGTTCAGATGCAATCAGGTGTGTGCTGTGAAATTTTGAAGGATGTTTAGAAGGTAGTTCTTCCATTACTGCAAGCTTCCTGCCATGGTAATGATTGCTGATACCACTTCCTTCACTTGACTGACACAGTAGAAAAGAGAACTGCACAGTTAGTTCCCTAGCTATTTTAATGGTCTTTATATATTTAGTTCTTTATCTAGAACCTGGTTATAACACTTTTACAGGARGAAAGAGAACACTTCATACTCAGTATCAGAAAAGAGTGTGTAAAGACATSTGTAACTCTGTRTTTCTCTTTGACTAATTGTAYTCATTTCAATTAAACTTTCAGTAACTTGCAAGTATTCAGATAAYAGCTGGGGAAGTGGAAGCCTGTGCCAGTAGGCATTGAAAGGAAGGTGTTTGGGGTTTTTTGCTCTGTTAGCCTCATTTAAATATATTTTAAATCCASTACTGGAAGGAGAATACCCCCTCATGTTGGGCTGACTGATKTTATCACTTAGGTRCTGAAAGAATSGGTAATATGGATAGCATCAACAAAGACAGAAACTGTTTAGGTCCATGTACATAAGGGTSTTTCTTCCTCTTCTGTTTTTTAAGTCAGAAAAATCTGTAAGAAAACTTATAATTGTCTACCATTACAGTCAAATGCTGAAATGAAACTGCATTTTACTATCAGCAGGTATACGGCTGAGGAAATTAGCTAAAAGGCCAAATGTGGTATGAAATGGAAAAGCATTTCTGAAATGGTACTGAAATGGTTCAGCCTGAAGCGGCTACTGGGAGTGAGAAAGTATTAATTTATTTTCAGCAGTTAATGAAATCACTAAATCTGTAAAATATAACATTTGTTTTCTAGGTAATACAGCCCTGCTCTTGATTCTGTCGGTGCAGCATTCGTTTCCTGATCACAGTAAAGTGTACCTGTATCTTATCCTGGGAGTCCTGAGCCTGGAGATGATTAGTTCCCTGACATGCTTAGTGATTTACACAGGTGAGAGAGACAAACTTTGCCTTCTTTTATGAGATTCATTATGGCTGGTACTCAACTGTTTTGTTTGCCCTCACAGTAGTTCACTTGGGGTACCCCAAGGTATTCAGCTGCCATTATGAATACTGTACTTGTGGTTCTTTGCTTGTAGAAGGAGAACTGAGGCAAAGCCAAAACAAATTRGGAAAGGTTGTCAGGCTTGATTTGGTTCCAAGTGCTGCTAAATGAAAGCTCCATGTTATCTTGAAGCTGTTAATCCAGTGAAGTGGCAATAAATGCCTAATTATTTCAAAAAGTGTCCTGTGAAAGGGTTTGTCTGTGTTATCAATGTTTCTCTAATGCATGCATCACAAGCTGTGAAGAAGTAAGAGCTGTCTGGCTTAGTCAGAACTGCCTCTGGGCTTTACATGAGGGGTTTGCATACCTGATCTGTGACTGTGCCTTATCCAGCCTCTTCCTCTTTCCTTGGTCCCACCCCAAAGGCTTCAGTTTCTCTTTGATACTAAAATGGAAGATTCCTTCTAATGAATATTTTTACAAAGCATGGGTTTTGGAAACTGTGATTATTAAAATTCAAATCTATGATTATATTAAAAACTGTGAGGCTTTGCTTTGTGCTATCACTGTTGGTTTGTAAGGTTATCTGCTTGGGTTTGGTGTAACTTACAAAGACTTGATAAAACACTTGCCTTTAAACTTTGCAAAACTATCTAAAATGTTGATAAATAAATGCTTAAAAGAAAACTTTGGTCTGTTCATAGTAATGCAATGGCACACAGAGAAATACTGCCAAGTGTAGCTTTTTCGTGTAGGAAATAAAATCTTTTTCTTGACTCTTCTGCAACAGCATCAAAAATGCACCAAAAAATAAGGTCCAAGCCCTAAACTATGTYCTTACAAGTGTGCAGAGGCCTGAATGCTGCAGGTTTGTCAGCTTTCCCCCTTAGCATGGCTCAAGTAGACTGTCCCCTGGAAGAATAAATGCAGCAATAAAGGAATGCAATCATGGCTGTCCTAGGAAACTATTCCAGGAATGCTGGAGATCATCCTTTCTTTGCATAAGCATACTTACTTTCCTGGGAAACTCGGGAAATAGGAGATAAATTGTAAAACTGTAATAGAATGTCAGGAATTCCAGAGAAATGCTACTTTTAGCCCTGAGGCCTGCTGGAGCTCCAAGAGCTACATTGTGTGTCTCTTACCTTGACCAAAAAGGATAAGTGCAAGCAAATTGACCTTCATAGTAGCAAGGTGTGAACCTTTATTTCTGTTATAACTCTCAGACTATTTTTCTGCTTGTTTGTCGCCAAAAGGACAAACTTTCTTAACTTGTACTGTGCCAATTCCTGTGACCTTCAAATCCATTAACCAGTGTACACAAGGAAGTTGTGGGGTGCAGTGTTGTGCTTTCCAGCTTAAAGAGGCTTGAAGAAGGGTGCAGTGAATCGTGAAACTAAGGGGAAGAGCTGCRTTGCTAGGAAGGAGTAAGTAGGGCAATATCTTTTTGCGACAGCTACCTTATCTCCTGAGCAGCCCCCCATCARTGTAATATTCATTCTCTAAAGCTTGTTGTACAAAAGTAGGGTTAAGTTTTATATGACTTAACTTGGGATCAAGATGAGGAAAACCCTAGATTGCTTTTTCCAGTGGGTAGTGTAATTTGTTTTCTTGCTTTCCATCCCAATGCTTGTGGTAAGCTGAGAGACTGCATGCATGTCTRTCTTGTGTGTAGTGGTGGGTTTTAAGGTTTTTCGATGTTTTAATATCAAATTAAGGCTGTACTGAAGCAAAACAAATGTATTTGGCCAATTTTGAAAATACCTGGAGAATCTGTAGTAATAGTGACATTCAGATGGATTTTTTTCTCACAGAGCAGGGTGTGTGACTGGATGGAAGCATGAAGCTTCTTTAATGGTATAGTTTTAAGGGCAGCCCTCTGCTTAGGTTTAGAGTTCCCATCTTCAAGGCAAACACTTAGCAGATACTAATAAGRTAGCATCAGCTAATGTAGCTGAGCAACAATGGGGAGACTAAAGTAAATTTACTCTAAAATCTAATGACCCACCTTTTTTTTTTTGTATTAGCATGTTACTCCTAAATTTTGGAGAGAATGCRGCACCAGTTCACACATTCTTTCTTTMCAGTGAAATAATTAATTCTTAACTATTAGAATGAGACATAAATGCTAATCTGTAGAAGGTTCATGTACCCGACTTTCTTTTGTTAAATATTACTGTCTCACAAATCAGGAATACCTGATTGTAATTCTAGATGTTTCCTYTTGCTTGTTGGAGCTGTTTATGAATTGGATGACAAGACTACTGCCTTTCTTAAAATTGTCTCCATGCAGCATTGTGTGTATAGCTGTAGGATGCAGAGGCAGACATTCAGAAATCTACAAGGAATTGCTGTGATTGACCTGTAATAGACTTGACATATATAAATCGTTCAAGTGAGGTAAAAGTGCATGGAGTGAAGTGTAATACAGGCAGCTCTAAATGTCAGCTTACTATTCTAAGTTTTTTACTGCTGTGATAGGGAGTAAAGCTTTAAAAGACTTACTAAATATATGTATTTAATTACTTTCTCACATATTTCTAATATCACTTGAATAAAAGACCAACATTCCCACAAACAACACATGTTGAGAATTCCACATCCATTCCTTTGTGGTTTTATTTGTAGAGAAATACCATCGTAGAAATAACTAACCTTTGAGCCTAACTYGTAGTTAACCTCTGGAGGGTCTTAGCATTGTTTTAGCAGGGTGGCCTGTAATAAACCCTATCGTAGTACTGACTTGTAAGGACAGTCCTTCTGTGCTGCAGTRGTGTGGATTTCTCACAGAGCTGGACTGAAATGTTTTTTGTGGCATTAGATGTATTGTTTCACAAGCAGCCCTAACTGCAGAGTCCCGAATGCATACTCTGGATATCCTGATACTTTCTCTGAATCAGGATCTGACATTGAATGGCTTTAAATATTTTCAGCTTCCTTTTCGAAATAATACAGAGGGTGCCTGCAACTTTTCCCACCCATCCCCATTCTACATCTTTTAAATTTAGCCTTAAACTTTATTCACAAGCGCCCAAGAATTACTTCTGAGTTTGATAGCTAAAAATGCAAGGTTCACAATGTATTTCTGTAGCAAGTGTGCCCTAGTCTGAGCAGACAAATAAGCTGCTGCTTCGTTACAGCTAGTCTAGTTAAACTAGTATTTATTGAAGAGCTTAAGGTAGAAGTTCTGAACTAGCTACTAGTAACAAAATTTCTCACAGATCTTTTTATAGCATGTTGCTTAATTTATGGCCTGAATTTGGAGACTGAATCTTGATGCCCCCTAAAAAGCAATTAAGGTTTCACCCTTTCTTAAGTGGCAAATTAAACTTTGTAGATCTTAAGCTGTCCATTCAAGCTTCCCCATTCAGATTTATTAAGCAGCAGGACTGAGTGGAATAAAAAAAACCCAACAAACTAATTAATAAAATAACTTGCCAAACTGTCACTGACTTAAAGCCATTCCAGAAATGAGCAGAAATAGTTTCTGCTTTTGCTTTCCCTCTTCCCCATTYCTCAAATTCCTTTGTTGTCCTTCCATTTCCTATCCTAAGGTGATCTGTTACAGATTTTTATACCTTAGAATCTGGTGTTAAAGCTTTATTTTTATCCCTTTCCAACTAACATAAACCTTTGTTGCAGTGAAAATAAGCAACTTCAATCGTGCCAAGCCAAGACCTGACATAATTGAAGAAGAAAAGATGTACACCTATCCTAGTCACATTACCTCAGAAGTTGGATTCAGGTAAGAAATCTGTATGCATTTTGTGCTGTGTTCAGCCATGGTATATAGGTAACACTAAAGTAATTGCATTATTTCCTGTAGAYTTCCATGTAGTCTTAAACCTGCCAGCTAAACTAGAGGTAGGAATAACACTTSTGAAGGAAACTCTATGCATAAACCTCCCATTGTAGATGCACAGATGAAATGCAACAGTCTTGYACTTTTTGCATAGTAAATGGCAATTTACTATGATACAGAAGTCCTCAAACATAGGGATGGAGGTGATTGGACCATTTATGGCTGGTTGTGTGAATCTTTAATAAGTGTGCTTAATTTGGTTCAGTTRATTTTATATGGGAGTTTGAGGAAAGATACTAGTGTCTTATACTGTTGTTTCAAGGAGAGCTACAGAAGCACAGCTACTTCATTGAGTTCTTTCAAGGAAGGAAATATATTGTGAGCAGTTGATAGACAAAGAAAACTTTGTTATTCTGTTCTTTGTTATTCTGTGCCAGCAGTTGGACATGAGATTCTAGCAATGGATTTGGAATGCGTTTAAGTTTGGGAAGGAACTTTTAAGATGCAGAGGCCACTTATGGTATAAGGAAGGTCTCAGACATAGAAGCTGTCCAACAGTAATTGAAACTATCCCAAGCACTGGGACTTTTTGTTTGTCCTTTTGTGTACTTTCCAACTGCTCAAACATGTTTCTGTGGTTGAAATCAGTCTGATAGGACTTAACAAAAGCTAGTAATTGAAAGTAACATGGATTTCTGTATAAGAATTTAATTGGAGATTTTCTRATGCACTATGACTTGCTTCTGTATGTGGTGCCTTCATGAAAAGTTGACTAATGAGAGATGACTAATATTTTGGGAACTTCCCCTGATGTCACAAGTGCAGCATGCACATGCTTTTATGAAACTTGGAAGTTTCCTGGACTTGGTGTCCAGGATACAGGAAGGATTTAGAGTTGTCTTGAATTTTGATACCATGTCTGACTTCCATTTTGATATAAAAACCATGGTGGTTGCATGGTGGACCTAATTTCTTTCTCATTCATCTTTTCCCCTGAGAAATTCTTAAATGCCCAGGGAATGTGTCTACAACAATGACCAGCTGAGGAAAAGACTCTGCTTATTTTTGATTAGAGTGCAAACTTCCTGTGAGAACTGATTGCAAAACTGTTATGTTAATTTAGCTCTATACAACTCTGACTCTCCTTCCCTTGAGAGTTAACATCTATTGAAAAGTGAATCCTGTCAGCCCTTCAGTTGACCTTGTTATAAGAATGGTTTTTTAATATCATGACCTCTGCAAACTAAGCTACTGATCAGGAGCCTTTAGTTGGTAGTGCATATTACTGGTTAAGGTTGCAAGTTTTCTGTTTACAAAACTTGTGTTCTTTACTTTTTCCAGTTTATCTACAGTAGGTTTTTAATTGGACCTAAGCTTTTTTCCACTTAGAATCCTTCTCAGCACTTTCTAAGAACTATGAAAGAGGCAGTGTTCCTCCAAAAAAAATGCTGTAAGGCTGAGGAACAGCCTTCTCCATTCTTAAGATGCTCACAAGTATACTGTTGGCAGATTCTCAAGTCAGCTGAGAAGAAATAATGTAATAATGTAAGGAAAGAGTAGACTGAGTAGACACTCAGGCATTGGTACTTCATCTTACTGTATCTTAAAAATTCCCRATTAGCTATGACAAAATTCTGTACTTTTACTAACTTTTTTCCTCTTGATTAATTGGGCTTTATTTACATGTTGCAGTGTTACTATCAGAGTTAAAATGAGGGATATCTGAAAGCTGGATGTATTTCAAGGAGGAGGGTAGCTGTACACGAGGTTGTAGATCTTAAATAGCACAGCTTTTTGTTACTGATGCTGCCATGGCATGTGACTGATGTTGCTGTATGTAGAAGCATATGTATGCTACTCCAGGTTAATCAAGAGATTTCTGTCTTAAACAGCTTATGATCTCCCACAGCTGAACAACAATATTATGCTTGCTCAATACAAGTTTCCTAATGTGTGTGAGAAAGGTTCTGTGGCTCTTAATACAATTCTAGTATGTTGTCTGTCTCAGTTTCTTAAACAGTAAGATCCTCACCCTGTCTAGCAGGAAATATGTAACTCAGTTGTATATACATGGCATGAAGTTCAGCCAGATTTTGTCTTCCTGCCTTCTCATGCAAGATAGAGTTAAACATTGTAGGTTGCCTCTTCACTCAAAAATTAGTTGATCCCAGCACAAGTAAAGCTAAAGAAAACAACTGTTTAAATATGTGTTAATTAGCTCTGACATTTCACTTATTAGRACACTGGTGTCACGTACTGAAACCCATATTTACTTTTGTTACTTCAAGGGAAAATTCCAGTTTAGAAGAGATAGTTGAGAAGCAAGGAGATGTAATAGAGTATCTTCAGCGACACAATGCACTGCTCAGCAAGAGACTGTTGGCATTAACATCTCAGCAAATCAAAACTTAACAGCATTTGGAAAACCGCTGCTGGAGCACTGGAGGGGAGCATGAAGTACGTAATATCCAGACTGATTTGTACAGATGTGACTCTTCTTCAGTTGTCTTTCATGTTTTGAAATAGAAGTTAAGCTGGAGGGATAAACTCTGCGTACACCATAAACATATCACAACTGGACACTCTGACTGTCTTCAAATCATCAGTTCTGGATAAAAGTTCTGCAGTGTCAAGGATTTTTAATTCCTCGTAAGTTAAAGTTAGACCTGAGTTAATGGTTTAACTTTGCCCATTTGTTGCTATTATTTTGAACTGCTGTGTAACCTTTAAGCTTCAGGCTACCGAAGTATTTTATATTTCTGTAATGTAAATTTGTTCTCTAGAAAAATCTGACATTGCAAGGGATGTATTTGCAGTTTCTACTGCTGTAGCTGAGACTAAATGTGTTCTGTCACTGATTCCCTTCACTTCAGGGACAGACAGAGGTGGTGTACTTCACTAATCCGATACAGATACTTATTTTCTGGATGTTTCTCCTTTTCTTCTTTGTCAAGAAAATGGAGAAACATGGCATCCAGTTTGTGGTTATAAAACAGTAGTGAGTATTCTAAAACTRCAAAACATAGAAGTTTTTGATACAAAACAATGCCATGATAAGAAATTGTTCAAAATTCTGGCTTTAAAACTCTCAAGAGGGATCCTCAGGGGAGGTGACTATCCCATTACCAGGAGTTTGTGTTAGCTAGTAACAAGGTTCCTACTCTGCCAATTGAACTAACGATGCAAAAATATTTGAGCATAAGCTTTTCCATTGATCTAGTAACTAACTTGTGTTGAATGCTTTTAAGGATTATGTGAAAAATGCCTGTTACATACTTGCTCTTTACTTTGGCCCCACAAAAAATGTCAGCATCTTGATTTGAAAGTTGAAATGGTGTATGTGGGGAAATGGAAAACAGCAGAAGACAGAAAAGTCTTTTAGAAAACAATAATTTTTGTTTTTAATTTATGGTGAATTAAGGCTGGTGAAAGAACCATTTTGTTCTGGGTACTATTTTGTCTACCAATGTAGATGAAGAATTGTTTTAGAAGCTAATACCTCAGTGGGGATAGGGTAATCACTAATCAAAACAGGGAAGAAGACTCTCATAAGGAGTGGTCTTGTTGGATATAAGAAAGGAAAATTAATTCATCYGACTTTGGTGTTGGGGCACAACTTTATAAGTACCTAAATTGCTTAGTGTGCAACGAATATGGGGTTGTCGCATTCAAAGAAAAACAATGAATATCGGAGGGTTTGCTGCTATCCAACACTAGATTGTTCTCCTTAACTGTTGTTTCTTGRAAATGCAGCCAGAATTTTACAGTATACTTGTAAGGAATAAAGTTAYTTGTTTTTAGAACTCAGGTTTTGATGTGATTGTGTATGTCAATTTATATAATTTCTATGAAAAGCAGTAAAAATATGACTGTGAAGTTCATGCACAATAAATGCAACCAAGGAAGAGTGTGAGTTCTGTTGTTTCTAAGCTCATGTACATCTGGTTCCAACAGGCAATCTGTGCTGAAGTTATATTGAAGTTCTCACACYAGTGTTGGCACTAGCAAAAACTAGCCAAACAAGGATAGCTGTGCTCTTGTTTTGAAGTTTAGTTTTATTCTCTTTTTTGGGTAATGTTTTTTTCCATCATGCTTCAGACTGCTACTTGTGTTCCTTTCAAACATAGAGAAGTAGGCTGCAAAGTGCAGCAGAACAGCTTTGCTTCCTTCTTTCCTCTTTGATGGCTTAAGATAAACCTTAGATTAACCAATAGTGTTGCTTTCTGTGGAACATGGTAGCTGGAGAGAAAAGCACGTGTGGCTTGCTGTGTGCAAACATGTACATCATCTGCCCTTTAATTGTTATCTTTCCTAAGTACACAAGTGRCAACAACTGATAACTGTTAACAACCACCCACCCCTTGCCCCACTTTTCCATTTTTATCATACTTCTTATATCTTTAGGCTTTTTCTTTGGGCAGTGTGGAGGCTTTTCACATTTGTGTGGACTCCAGCCAGAAGCTGGCAATCTTTACTACTCACCCCGAATGCTTGAACCTCTGGCCATGGTAGAGCCACAATGAGCTGTCAAGTAGGATGTGCTTGTGGTTTGTGTCAGCCCCAARCCCCTTGTCTGTGCCAGATGGTTCAAGGCCAACCTTGGCCCTGTTTGGAGGCAGAAGTACTCCCCAGCCCTCTGGGTCCCCTGGTTCTGCCCCAGTGCAAGGTGTGGTGTTGCTGGCTGCTGTGCTGTTGCTGGGTGCTGTGGTCCTGGGCACCTTCCTCCTCCTGGCCAGCCCCCTGCCTGTGCCCAAGCTGCTCTACAGCATGTGCCTGCACAGCTCCTCAGGGAGGCTGTGTACAATCAGGTGTTTGAAATGCTGCATGAAAGGGGTGAATGTCTGCTGCTGTGCAAGGGAGATGAAGCACAGCTGTGACCTTGCTGTGTCTGACATGCCACAGCACAGCAGTGCTAAATTGAGCAATGAGTCCTAATTGTTGTGGTTATGCTGTATCCTGCTTATCAGACACCTCTCTGCTGTTGCCAGGTTCGGTGCTGGGGTGGCCAGTGCTGTCCATCCSCAGTGTTGCAGCCTGGGTGCCTGTCCCTGCAGTGTCAGCACCTGTTYAGGGGCTGGCTGGTACTGCCTGAAGTAAAATCCGTAGTGTGCTGTACATGCAGTAAGCACTGAAGCATTGGGTCCAAGTTTCAGGGGGTAAAAAAGTACCGCGTTGTGAGCGCAGGGGTTGGCACGTGCTGTGCTGCAAAGCAGCGCTTTGCTAAGCACCAACACAGCCCTGCCCGGGTGAGGTGTGGCAAACCTGTCACTCTGAACTGCTGAAGCGATGCTCTTTGTGTAACTACAGCTGCTGAAATGAATCTGCATCTCGGTAASGTATACTGGATGGCAACTGGGGCAGCAAGAGGACAATGAAAACAAAGGAATGTTTCCGAATATGTGTTACAAGTGTACCTTAAATAAAAATTATGTATTCTGTTATTTTATCCTCTTTTTTATGATTCAGTGCTACCCCGATAGCTTTTTATTTCTGTAGAAAACCAGTAGATATGTTTTTCAGGTTTGAGAAAAGAAGTATTTCATACTAATTAAGAAATGTATTTGGGGTTGCCAAAAATGTTCACATTGTGGGGTTTTAATAATTTCCATCTGAAATGCTGAACTGTGCTTAATATTTTGTACACATGAAAAGATGGGATGATCTCTTGTGAGTACACATCTTACATGAGGAAAAAACTCAGTTGATATTTCTGTTTTGTCTTTCTGAATAGYTCAGTGGATATTTTATATAAACACTTTAATATTTCACTATGCAAGGGAAACCACTGATTGTAAAAGATTTTAACAGAATTTTCCTGCTCAAAGGTTCTACACTAACGTGCAGTTAAGCAGGCTTGCTCTGCTAGAAGTCATTCTTAATCTAAGAAAACAAATTTGCAGCAAGGACCCAAGAGACTTGGACAGACAACACTCTTAACAGGCAACTCAGGAGCCGAAGGAACAGCACCTTCGGCTTTGGAATGAGTTCACCTTTTAGACAATTCTTTCTAACTAAAAGCCATATTGTCTTGTTTGTGATGTTGGTGTGTTTCCTTCTTTGCACAAATATTCTGCAGCTGATCACTAGCAAGAAAGAGAAAGGCTGTTGGAGTGATGAGAGATCAGTAGGCTAACTGTACTCAACTGATAATAGTCAAACATTTGAAACTTACTTGCCATACTAATRTTTCTCCTGATTGATGTCAATATAAATCTTATGTGACCCTTGGCAAAATTTGGCTTTGTGTAGACACTGAGATATTTATAGCATATGTATGTGGCGTAAGGGAAATATTTCCAGTCTTTATTCTCCTATAATTTCCTTCTTTCCATACTGGAAAGGGAAGAGGTGAATTGTTTATTATCCTTTGGGAACACGCTAAACTACTGTTTCTCACCAAAGCCTTGCACTTACCTCCGTTTCCTGCTGACCTGCTGTCACAGGACTTAATGAAACATACTTTCAAATTAAATTTCATTTTTCCTATATAAAAATTATCTTCAAAACCAGGATTCAAAGTTTTAGAAACTCATGTTTTGCCTTTCAGAATTTAAGGTCTTWATCTTGGGAACAAGCCTTGTTAGACTGCATCCATGCAAACATCAATTCTGACTTTGAGTCAGCAATTTGTATTCGTGCATGCTTCCCTTCCTTTAAGCACACACTCATCCATGCAGTGAGAGATCCATCAGTTTGGCTGTTGTAGCACCCGTGCCCAAATGCTTCATGTTTACAGATGGAATCAAACTGTTACCATAAAAAGCTGTTTTCACCACGAGCCTTATGCTATGCACGTCAAGTGAAAATGGATAGTTTCAACGAAGTCAAATGCAAATCTGACTTTAATCAGAATTTTGCACTTYAAGAAAGACAGAAAGTGTCAGAAAAAAATTTTCATTATTACCAATAATTTATTTGTATCAGAAATTGAGTAAAAAAATTTTACACACTGATTYTATATGAATCCACAGGGAAAGTACATAAGGTCTCAGTTTTTAGATTTATTGACTTTGACAGCTGAAGAATACAGACTTTGAAGAGTGTACAAAGTTWATTTCAAATGAGATATTATTTGAAATGCATACTGTCTTTTTACAAAATATACAATTAACCACTAAGTTGATAAACATATCTATCAATGATCACAATCAATGCCTTTTTCACAGCAGATTTTATGGTATCAGCATGTCTTTAAAGAACAGACATTTAGAATATTCTGTAGACTGACAATGGGCTCCACAGGGCACTGTTTTATTTTTACCTCTGTGCAGGAACATGCATATTTAGCTTTCTGATAGATACACTGTTTTTATTATGATTTTTTTTCCAAGTTAATTGAATAATTATGATTATATAAAATACCCAGTATCACAACAGAACCATATACTCATTTATAAGATATAACTGTTACATGGCTACKCTTCACTTTTCTTGCTTTCCCTCATTCTTTACCTGTTCTTCTAAACAGATATAGCCAAGGATACATACCAAAGCCAAGTTAAATAAATAACTAAAAATATATATATAAGTGGTAGAAAGTCTCTTTGGGAAACTGCTTTTTTTCCCCCCCAAGACTCCAAAGGTTTACCTGCAGGACTGTTTGTTGGTTTAGGTAAGTTTGACCATCTTTCTATGATGGCTTTACACAACTCCAGAAGAGGGTCTGATGTTTTATTTCCATTTTTTTCATATACAGAGAAATTTGAAAACTCTTGTTAAGCTCTGACAGTATTAATTCAATCAAGATTTCAAGTTCTTAAAGGGTTACATATAGACCCTGATTAGAAAATTTCCACTATCCAGTTTCTTTTATTGCTGTTCTTTCATTTATTAGAAACTATGTGTTATAAGAAAAAAAAATGTAATGCTATACTTAAACCATGACATTTCTCTCTTTGAAAATCTTCATATATTTTATAAAAAATGTTGACATTTCAAGTCTAATGCAATGACTTAAAAATTTGGGTATGTTTTACTTTCASGTTTGTTTTAGTTGTGCTAATGAAAGGGCTACCATGTTTTCCTTTATATGTAGGTATGTAATTTCTGCTGATATAAAAGGCAGATGTGAAACATACATCTTTAAGAACAAAACTCTAAGTAAGCTCAATGTATTCTTGACCTCCAGTGCTGAAAAGAACAGCCTGTTTTCTGTTTGAAGTCCTCATTCATTGTAGTGCCATGTTCAAATATCCCATTCATTTAAATTACAGGAATAGCGTGCTATGCAACACTCGGGCTGACCAAACAAAGGYTCCTTTTCAATGGTCTATTTTTATGCTCTATTTATAATACTGTAGTGGGTTTTTTAGGAAAACTACTATTAAGTAAATAGCTCTGTAGTACTGAAGTCTCAAGTATGTTTTAACTGTCTGGTTTGGCAGCCCAGTTTARGAAAACAAATGATAGGCTTTGCAGTAACAGCTCATTAGACAGGAGGATGGGCTTGACCTTAAGGCCTGGATTGAGAGATCTGAGTTATCAGTTTTGCATGACCCTTGGCTAATCTCTTATCTCTGTGTGCTTCAATTCTCTGTCTATAGAATGAGGGATAACACTCTCTTTGCTTTCTTACATTGTAAACTCTTACTGTGCTTACTATAAATGAAGCCAGTAGAACCACTAGTGTGGTGCTGACTTTGGTATTATTGTGGTAATGTATTCTATGTTATTATTAAGGTAATTCTGTAAAGATGTAATGTTACGTGTTAAAACACATATGTATATATTATTAATACATAAAAGTATGAACAAAAAAAGGACTTTCACAGTTCCGTGCGAGTTTGATACTATTTCATCCTAAAAGCTGCCCTGTACACAGCCTGAACTGAGTGGTCAACAGCACATGTAATTTCACTCAGCCCGAACATTATATACCATTAAGATCCGCCTTACTGCCTCCCTTTGTACTGCCACTGGAAATCCAGCTTAGGTACCTGATGTTTGAATTGATTTTTAACTTTCACTAGTCACTATGAGAGCCAAGCAATTTACAGGGAATGACTCAACCAGGTAAGTTCATGTACATCCTCCTCCATCACCAGCCTCCCATCACCACCACTTCCTATGATGTGAGACAGGGACCTTTATTCCAGGTCCAGCAGAATGTGACAGACAGGACTGCTGAAGATGGGACTGTGGTGGCTGTCAGGTCAGCTGTTGTTGATCTGGACTTTTGACTTCTCCATTGGTTTAACTGTTGCTCCTTTAAAATACTGACAAGTCCAATATGAAATTGCTGGGGGAAAAGAAAAGGAAAGAGCCATTAATGAAATGTTTAGTAGTCTAAATTAGTCTCATACAAAACAGAATATATTATTTATGAAACAAATGGACGAAATTTGGAGTAATGTTTCTTAATTTGGAAATTTCAGTTACAAGTTTGAGAAAATAAGACAAAAGCAAGAAGGCTGCTAATATAAAACGTTCTTCCATTTTTTGTCCCATGTTTTGCATATACAACTGATGAAAAATCAAATTCAATCCTTTTCTCATTTCAAATGTTGCAAGAGGCTGCCACACTCATTTTAGTTTCCAACACCAGTTGAAATTCAGGCTTAAGGGTGCATCCTGTTTGCATCTGCAAATGGCTTTATCCATATGTACAACTCCACCGAGATCAATAAGATTACTCATGTGAGTCAAGTTACCCAGGCATGTAAATATTTGCTGATTTCGGACTAAACTGGAAGGGAATGTAAACGTAGGTGGTAAATCCTACTTAAGATAAAAGGTAGCACCCACAATGACTGAAATTAAGAGAGTTAGTTCAGGTGCCTGTCTCCCCTTACTCCCTAGTCGAGGTATACTGAGTTCTAAACAGCTTTGCAAAGCAAAAGCATCTTCAGTTATATGTCTACAAAATGAATGATGAATTAGTAAGTTTTGTTTGACTTTTGTTACAAGGAATCAGCTCCCCAAAGAAAAGGAGATAACACTGAAAATACCTTTTATCTGGATATTCTGAGGGGAAAGGAATTCCAGCATAAGTGCACTTGTATAATGCAGCTACTGCAGTCTCAATAAAAATGCATTCATTATATGAGGCTTCAGAGCCTCATATATTAGAGAAAATATAGATGCTTTCTGAACAAACTGTCTCCAGATATGGATGCTGAATGGGGGGAAAGAGGGTTAAATTTACTCTTCTTAGGAWCTGAAGCAAATAATTCAGAATTGATTCAAGAAGTCATTGGGCCTAAATTCCTCTGTCCCTTTGTCCATTCAGTCTCTGCCTGCTGAGTGAATTGATCCAATTGCTTATCTTTCTAGGTTTATGCTTAAACTGATGATGGAATCTCATTTAATCTGTCTCTTGTTTAAATGTAGCAGTGAGACATGGCATTCAATAGTAAAGCATCCTTCTGGCATGTCCTTTCTACTTACAGCTCAATTCTGCCACTCAGTATGCAGCCCATCTGASATTAAATTTAAGATAAGGCCGATCTTTTTTTTTTAACCTCACAAACTTGGCAATTTACCATCCCATATGCACATTCCATGTGTTTAAAGACCAGCACTATAGAGTGGAATGGTACCCTTTTGCATGGCTGTTTTGGGAGTGGTCTAGGCTCTTTCCACCAAGGCAGTTTAYGCATTGACAAGATTCTTGGTATAGAGTTGTTAAAAATTTGACTTTAGTCTCCTTTTCACTGTTAACCACATAGTAAATCAAAACATCTTGGCTCCACAGAGCGCAGATTCTGCCACCATTTATTTAGGATGCTGTCATGCCTGGGGCTACAACATTATTTTAATATATAATGAGTTTAAAAGATGCAAAACTACTGACTGCATGTTTTATTCATTCTCAAATTGCAAGAGCGCTTGGCTTCCTTTTGATGCCTACCCTATTAGCATATGCTACCTGTGTGCTTCTGCAGTYACTTAGTATTCGAATGTATATGCCCTCATCAGCTATAAAGCATTAATGTTTTGCACTTGTATAGCCTTTCATCCAAGGAGCTACAAGTCTTTTGCTGACAATGATTAAGAATTACAGTCCCCTTTGAAGTGGGTGAATGTTACTACCTTCATGTTACTGACGGGCAGAGCGAGGCGGCTTCGCCCRGCATCCAACACGAGGGAAGTGTCAGTGCCTGCAGCCGCGGAGCATCCTCCGCAAGTGCTGCTTTGTCCAGCCTTTGCGCTAGTGACGCTCCTTGCCCCGCAGCTTTGCCAACAACCTCGGAGGGCAGCGTTCGTCCCCTTTAGCGGGCTCGGTTGTTTTCCACTCTGCCTCAAAAATGCATTTGGCGGGGGGAAGGGAGGATGGCCTGGAACGGGGAGAAGGCGGCAGCGGCCGGAGGGACCCGCGTCCCGACGCTGGGGCAGCGACCGCCCCGCCGTGCGCAGCTCCAAAGCCCCGTTTCCAAACCAAACGAGGGGAGCCCGAGTGCACTCACTCATGCCTGTGGCTTGGCTGCCTCCAATGCCTTGCTCAGGTGTGAATTCCGAGAGGCGCTGGCCGCGGGGAGCGGCACACACGCGCGGATTTACCTGGCCGCGCTGCGCCGGGGCTCAGGGGAAGGGCACTCGGGAGTGGAGCGGCATGCAGCGCCGGTGGGAGCAGCCGTGTCGGTGGAGCTTCCTGCGCAGGGCCAGGTTGGCTGCAGAGAGAGGGAGGGAAGCGGGATGTGAGGGATGCCGTCGGCAGTGTTGGCCCGGGGGCGGCCGGTGCTGCTCGGGACGGGACGGGACGGGYCGGCCCCGGCGCTCCCCGGTACTACCGGTGCCCGTGGCCGTGCCCTGTCGCACCGCCGGTGCTACCCGGGAGCAAATCTGCAACARTTGCCCACCTTGGGTCCCTATTTATCCACGTGTCCACCTCCCTCACCTCCTCCTCCGCTTCCTCGAAGTTGCCATACTTCTTTCTGGGATAGGCGAAGCATCCTCTCCCGCTGCCGCTACAAGCAGGGATGAAGCGCACCGAGCGATGCGCCAGGTCCCGGCTTGTCCCGGAGGTCACAAACCGCGTGCTGGACGCGGTCAAACCCGCCGGAGGTGCCCATCCATGGCAAGCACGAACCCCGGGCTCCCATCCCAAGCATCACGCTGAGGCATCGCCTACCTGGCCGCTGTCCGGAGGCTGCGAGGAGGCTCGCCAGGAGCACAAACACGATCCAGAGGAGCAGCTGGAGTCTCATGTCTGCAGTCAAGGCAGAGGCGCGCTCCGTGTGTGTGTGTGTGTGTGTGTGTTTCGGCGAGGAAATGCGCGCCCAGCCGCCCGGGGGGCTGTGAGGGGCCGGCACCGCCCGCAGCCCCGGGCCGCTCACATGCCAGTGACAAGGGGGGAGCCAGAGCCTGCCGCCTCCAGCAGCGGGGTTAATGATCACGCAGGGCCAAGGTTCCTGGGTTGCASTGCGGGCTGGGCCTCCCTCTCTTCCCTTCTCTCTTTCTCTTTTTCTGTCACTCCCCCTTATTTTCCATAAGCAAACAGCGCAGGAATGAAAGGCCCGTGTAAACAGCAGCTCCTGTCAATGCGTAGGGGCAAGGAGCCTCTCGAACAATGCGGCCACTTCACTTTAAATTCAACCCGGTCAGGAAAAAAACATATGTAAAACAAGCCCCGATGTTCCCTCCCCCATTTGCAACTGTTTAAACTTTGCATTGCCCATATTGGTCCCACATGCAGACACCAATGGCAGGGGCAGGAAGTGCACCCCCCCGACCTTTGTTCCCCCCGAAAGCGGGGGCAGGGAAGCCCCCCAAGCATGGCCCTTGTCCCAGCTCAAATGCTTTCTCTCTTCTCTAAACTAGCTGCGAAGTTGTGGCTATTCAAAGTGAAACTTGCAGTAGTTAAGGCTAATGGGTGTCTTTTGTACCGTCAACTATTTTTAAAGGATCAGAATATGCAGGAATTAATCTGTGAGCTTTTCTTGCCGTGCAGGGTGAAATAGATATATCTGTTCCAGCAGTACCAGTTTGAGGGCAGCAGTTTTGGGTGGCACATCTATTTGCATAACCCACCTGTACGTTAAACTAGATTTATCCTTGGTTATGATAAGAACTCGCTTTCACAAACCACGATGAAAACAGCTTGTGCAGATAACCAAGCCTGAAGAGAAGAAAGGCAAAACCTGCGGAATGTGGGAGCAGTACTGATGACTTTGAAATCCAGTGAATTATTGGTGTCAGTTGAAATTCGACTGGTCCTTTTCTTTTTTCCAGCTTGCTGATTTCTTATGATGGAATAGTACCTAGTTATTTTAACAAAAAAAAAAAAAAACCAAAAAAAAACCAAAAAAAAAAAGTTCATTTTTGGGAAAAGTTTCTGTTTTAAAACATGCGGGAAAGAGCACATTCCTATATAGGTTAAATACTACTATTATTACTAGGTAACTATTACTGAAAGTTGGATAAAGCTGCTATTTCCCTATTTGCTAAAAGAGGGAAATATATAGTTGTTGGTTTGCTGGGTTTTTGTAGTTGTTGTTTCATTTTAATTCAGTTGCGCGTTATTGTTTTCCGTTATTGTGGACTTTCCCATTTTCTTTATAAGCCTATTTAACTCAATAGTGCACTCTAGTCTCTCCTCCCAGAGTTATATAACATTACTGGGTTACTTAATTTGTCTAGGTAGATAATGCCCGTATTGATTAAGACAACTTGCAGGTTGAATATGTGGAGCAAATAGTTACTAAATGTTGTTTTAAAATGATGTGAAGACTGCTGAGGATGGTTTTTCAGACAGAATAGTAACAAAGGAAATCCTCTGCTGGTTGATCAGATTGGTCTGTCATAACCAGGAGAYGCGTCCAAGTGTTCTTCTTTACAGCTTGGTGGTCAGTTTTCTCTTTGTGATTTCTGTCTTTTAAACTGAACTTTTGTATAATATTATTGTTGCCAGCTCAATTGAAATCAGAGTCCCATGGTGCCACTGACAGAATTTTCTTGAGGAGAGTATAATTCCAAATATCAAGATGGTGAAGTAAGAGAGAATTGCTGTGGCCAGATCACTCAAAGAGTAACAGAACCAGGGTTACATCCTCAATACCCTAAATGCCATTCTGGCTTCTCTAGGACACATTTAGGGATGTGTTCTCTTGCTCACCACGAATGAGAACACACTGGCCACCTCATTCATACAGCCCTGCAGATGATGATCATTTTYATTCAGTAGGTCAGGTTCAGGCTCATAACCTGAAGGTGGAAAGTAGTATAGWCTTCAAAGTGATAGGGACTCTGCAAAAAGCTAAAAGGCAGAAAGAATGCATATTCTATTGCCCGTCCCTCGGGCTATCTAGGCCTCTTCTGCACCTGAATGTGGTGAAGTKTACAGACTTTCTGAGGAGACATTAAATTTGAGGGAATTGATAAGATGCAAAAATTAAATGCAATATTTATATTTAGTTTAGTTTAGTTTAGTTTTGTTTTGTTTACTATGAGCTGTTAATTCCACTGCTAACTCTGTGCAAAAGTTTACAAAAGTTTATTTGACTAATAAAATCCACATCACTATAACATGAGCATGACAGAGTTATTGTAATTTTTCTGTAAGATACAGGAATAGCTCTATGCTTCCCCACTGAAGAAATTTCTAAAATGTAATTCAACCCCACTCTAGAATTTGTTGTTCTTTTCCCAGCAGCTTTCCTTCAGGTACTTACTKTCATGTGACATAGTGCTGCTTGAAATTAGGCAAGCAACAACTAGGTAGAATGTAGTGATGTAACAGTTCTGCCTTTTTTGCAGTGTTTGCTGGTCCGTTTTGTGTTGGCTTAAGAGGAAAGGGAATGTAAAGTGTGTAGGAAAGCTGGAGGTCTCTAGATAATGCTTTATGAGCTAGAATCAAAGCTTTGAATCAAAAGCTTTCCTTCTCTTATAATCTGGAAGGAACACAATAAAGTAATGATGATTTCAGCATTTATTACTGATAGCATTGCTACTTCTCCATCAGACACACTCTTCCTACTTCCTCCTTGATAGGATCACATAGTCAAATCATCAGTTTACATCCAGAAAGTGTAAAAAATAGTTAGCATATTGCAGAAATAATTTTGAAAGTTTTGAGAAAGTATACTTAGGACTGCCCTTCCTGATTATTGAGCATTAACTGTAAGTAACACACGACATTACCTTTTTTTTCCTTAATTCATTTCAATAAGTACTGTATCACTTCACAGGTTATGAACTGTTCTGGGTGACATTTTCAGTGGAGTGACTGCTACAGTCTTCTTATATGGGAAAAAAATTAAATAATTGTGCCATTTCTAATAATAAAATTGGAAGAAATACAGGAAAAGTGAGTGAAGAAAATCAAATTATTTTGTCACACATAGAAAAATAAAAATTATCTTGATAAAYRAAAGAGCAAGTCACCAGAAGAACAAAAGATGAAATAATGTGAGGAAGCAGTAAAATTCATAGYATTAAGAAATAGAATAGGCAGAGTTGGATGACAACATTAGGAGACAAAGAAAATKTGGCACTTCCTAGTATGGAGTAAGAGATTAATTAGCATTCTCTGCTGAGCTGCTAGTCACAAATTGAATCCTACCTTTGGTTTGAAGTCCAGCACATAACTGTAAACTCTAGTGTTTATCATTAATATTTGAAAATGGCTTTCAAATGCTATCAGTATAAAATGTTAAGTGAAGCTTCTAAAGTACAGGAATTAATTTTTATATATGGCAATACTGGTTTCAATCCTGGTATCTCAGATACCTTGGATAATGGCTCTTCCCCTCTTAGATGCCCATAAAAATACATGGATCATTGTGGATCTTTACTGTTCTATAAGAAGASATGCTGAATGCTCAGGAGTGATAGTAACTGACAATAAGTCAAGATYCTTGTTTATTTTGGCTTGAAAGTGTCAGATAAGATATAATATCAGAGCTTCTAATCAGATTTTCTAACTTGGTTTTCCCCAAATCAATCTGTCCTGCTTATCCAGAGGAATTATTTCACTAACCAGACAAGATCTGGGATAAGTGTGTTTATGTCAAAAGAATTTGGTGAAGCACATCTCTGAGTCCAATGGCAAATGTCATTAGGGAAAGTTCTCAGCTTTTCCATGTTCTTTCCKATTACACTGCAAGAGGGTGAGTGGGCTGTGCAACAAATGAAGTTTAAAAAATGCGAAAAGATCACGTGAGTTGCTGCTTGAAAGGAAAAAGTTGGCCAAGAAATGCTCAAAGGGATAAATTTTGGGATGTTGTTTAGGTGTCTGTGAATTTTTTTTTCCACCACAAATTTCACTGGGATTATTATCTCATGGTTTTATAGGGACTATGTGACTGCCACGAATATAAAGGATGTTTTTTCTTCAGCCCAGGGTACAGCAGCACCAGATGCCAAATATAATGTTTGCCTTCTTCAYTGACTATAATCATGAAGACTACTTTTTCTGGACAAAACTCATTACCTCAAAAATTATGATTTCAGAAGAAAATGATGCACTCTGTGTCCTGATTTCCATCTGCTCRGAAAAGAAAACCTACCCAGGACCTAAACTCTGTTCCTCCTGTTTGCCATTTTACGCTTTTTCTGGAGGGAAAAAAAAAGTCCACTTCCCTGTCTSTTAGTGCTCAGCTGCCTTTCCTGCCTGGGGGAGACACTGCTCCGGAAGCAAATGATACTGAGCAAGCAGAAGGAATGTGCGCTGGTAACCTGACACTGGAGACAGATGTGCTCAAGGAAATGGGGTGGCTCAGACTAGGCTAAACCTTGTATAACTTCTTTATTTTAATGTATTCTATGTGTGTTGCAGAGATGCACAACCTAGAAAGTGCATTTTCTTTAATTTTTAACTGTGAAGAAAGTATTCTGTGTTCATGCCATCATTTCCAACCTCTTACTGAAGTACAAGTCATAATTGTTAGAATAATAATAGAAAGGTAAAACATCCTCCAGTAGATTTAGTCTGTCTTACTTCTGTGACCCTACAACCTGTAGGTTTGATTTTATTTAACACAATGAAATAACAGCCCCACACTTGAATAATCATAAATTATGAAGTCTCTCCTAGACAAAAGACAATTTCTTCAGTTACCTATGCAACTCTATTGATGAATTTTTCTTTTTACTTAAAGAAAATACTTTTATGTGGGCTTGAAGGTGCACTTATTTTCCCATTCCCTTCCATCCCTTAGAAGTAAATTAGATTCTAAGATTCATCTAGGAAATACATACACATATTTCTTTCTAGTAGGAAAACAAAGAGGTCAACTCTGGAGCAGCAGTGCCTGTGATCCCCACCAGTGTGAGCGCATGTTCCATTTCAGGAAACCCATTTGGGGTCAGATTCTTCTCTGGCACTGGTCATAATTTCTGAGCTTTTTTAATTCGAAGAGTCATTTACGTTGTCTTGAATAAATGATGTTCAAGAAAGACCCCAMAATTCTTGCAAAGCAAAAATTTGTATAATTAGTTTTTATTTGCTGGTTAACTTTCAACTATGTAACCCCCTTAGATATCCAGGCCCTTTATGCCCCAGGCTTCTGCAGGGAAACTATTTTTAAAAG